TTTATAATAAGAATATCTGCTGGTAATAGCAAAGTCAACCGTTCGGGCATATTCACCAGCATCAAAAGCACGACTTTATCTTCTCTGCATGGATGAAAATATTCTTTCCTTTTCCCTACCTCTCGAATGATCGACAATGCCTTCTCATATGCGTGATAAGTCATATATAACATGGGTTTTGATTTTCCCTTTGGTAGTACTAGCTGTAGAATTTGTCGAGTGCTTAATACTGCGTCGATATTCGCACGGGAATTGCTTTAATCCTTCAATCTAAACGACAAATATAAGTCAAATATTAAGTCTAAGGCATCTCACTACATATTGTTTAATTGGACACCGTATAAAGGACTTACTTCTTCAACTGAACGCGATATTTCTTCAGTTAATTCATCCGCGTTGATTTGCAGCAGCCAAATAGTTTGATGAAAATCGCCTCCGTCGTTGTATCTGCGTCTCCAGCACCCAGAATTGGGTGAATTTTGCTTTCTGAATCGTATGCCGAACTTGTCGAAGCCATAACAAGAACAACAATGCCTCATTTTAAAATTTATAAGCACAATAGTATATTTCTGTAATACTACGCTATAGTAATTTCTGAATTTGATGCACCCGAAATGTCACGTGACGTACCTTTCCAACATCTGAAATTAATTAGCTCGAAAGCCTTTGAAGTTTGCCGGCCTTCCAAACCCTGTCCTCTATTAACCTCTGATACCACCAAAAGAGCATATTTCAAATTTCGAGTATCTGTGTTGCTCTCTTTCCAGAATGGATTCGCAAGTGTGTCAGAACAGAAAATGGAGCCTTGTTACAGTGCAAGCCATGTAAACCGAGGAATGGTTGTGTTTAGAAAATGAATGTTAAAAGAAGTGGTAGTAAACACATTCCTGAACCGTTCTGAAAAGATTGCTTAATGTGCTCCTCGTTTGTCACACAATAATTGTACAACAGAATTTAATGCATTGTCTATTTATTTACGAACCCAAACAACTTTAAACTTTGACTTTTACAAGCGAGCCATGTCGCAGCTTTTCAGAAGACCTCTCTCCAAAACACTTCCAAGCGACTGCAAAGCTAGCCTTACAAAGTCACTACAGTCATATTATTATGTACGTCTCTACAAGCCTTATGCAAGTCTCGACTAGCATTGACACTATATTAACCAGCCATTCATTACAAATCATAGCATGCAACTCACTACATACTCATGCAAATCATGCCCTACAAAATTTACTACAAATTCTTAAAATACGTTCACTACAAGCATAATTTTGGAAGTCATGCACTACAAGTAATTATAGTAATAAAGATTCTTGTGCTTGTAAATGACATGGCGATAACTACTCGCGACTTATTTTCTCCCGTATAAAAGGCGCAAGGAAATTATTATGAAAATGTTATAATCATTTTTGCTGCATCGAAATATGTTATTTGAGTGGCCATTCTTCATGAAATACTCACATAAACATCGTAAAATCAATTAATTTAAATTTTGCCGTCCAGTCTTGATCTTTGTGTACCTGGGATATCAGTTACAGTCTACACCGACATCTTCATAATGGCCACAGTTGTGTTTATTCCACCCAGGGTGACTGCAATCCCATATGAATGATTCCTTGCCAGTGCACTTCACATCGTCAAGCAATATTGAACCAGTCCCGCGACCATAGTAAGCTTCCTCCCTTGTCGCGTACACTCCAGTGAAACCCAACTGACGGCAGACAACGCCACTGTCGGCATCATTCCATGCGTCATCACAGACAGTACCCCAGCCAAAGGAAGGATGAAATATTTCAACTCTCCCTGTTCTGTTGCTCTTTGTATTTGCCAATCTCAACTGTAGGTCCGACTTAGCTATAACAAAATAGATTAAATGTAATTAGAGCAGGTAACATTCATGTTCACAACACCGTGTCACATCGCGAAATAAAAATTCATTAGTAATTAATGCAGGATCGGAGCAAAATTAATGATGACGAAATTAATTAAAAAGAGACTAACATTAGTCATTGTACAAATCTGAGAACACGAAACAACAACGCGAATATCACAAAAGGATTCAGTTATTGTTTTCTTATAGAGCACGTTATTAAAATCCGTTGATGAACTAGGACTTAAATTCTACCGCAAAAAATAACGTTTAGAGTGTACAGTATACAAGGCATTTTGAATACCATGGACTGCTGGGGTATTTGCCTCCCTGGGCCCCTTCCTCTACCCCACCGCTAAAGAAAAAAATGGCCTATTGCCCGAAAGCTAGGGCCCTAGGACCTGTATTGAGGAGCTAAATGAGTTTAACATTGAGCATTCTTAAACTTATATGTTGTGTTTGAATGTTTAGCATGCAATTTATTACAAATTTCACCATTAAAGCTTTGTTTTGAGAAGCCGAGATCTATTTTAAATTTTGTTCTCAGAACGCAGGAAATGCTATTTCAGAGACTCAAATTTTAAAAATTTCCTGGAGGGGATGTGCCCCAGACCCCCCTAGCTAACTCGTGTAAGCGGCACTACAATCACTTTCAGAAGTTGTTGGGACACATGTAGTTTTAGATTGTAAGTGGATCATTACAGTTTTTTACACACAATACCGCTCCCCCACCCCCAATCAATGTTGCTCCAACCAACAGACATCAAACCCGACGAGAAATGGGACACAACATTGAACAGGGGGCGGGGGGATTGACGTTTTGTTGAAATTCAAAGGTTTTGTGGCATCTGTCCCAAGACTTTTGAAACTGATTGTCTGAAAGGCAATGAAAGACATATTTAACGTCTTTGAATTACCGGGTGTTTTAGAATATCAGTTTCGCGAAAATCATAGCATTTAGTATAACATGTTTACTGAATTGCATTGGCATATGTAACGTCCTTACTGTGCTTCGGTTGTGGTCAATATCTTTGAAATGTAACACAGTCCAGCAGTGTATTATAAATGAGCTTATACTGAAAGATGTGAGTGTGGGGAGGGTAGTATGCCGAGCGATTAAACCTGGTCTATATGCAAGGGAGAAAACACATCTATCTGGTTATTATCGACCTAGGTTAATGCTGAATAAAATGCAAAGGGTAAGTTATCGAAGACCACTTAAAGATTGAGCATATTTCACATGAAAACATGTATGTAATATAAAACGGCTTGAACACGTGCTCGGTTGTCACTTTGAAACACAAAGCGTCATAGCATTTTCATTGATATAACTTTCAATTGTCGTGGCATAATCATTTTCAGAACATTAAGTACTAAGCAATTGATATATTACGGGTTCTACTTTATCACAAAGTATATAAATTGTATAAAATGTATCGATTGACACTCAACTCTAGAAATATCACTATGATATATATCAGATTTATTTATGTAAAAAAGTGTCAATCGGTCCGAAACTTGGTTTAATCAATTTCAAACCCTTTCATTAATAGCAAATACATTGTTAGACGTTCCCAACTGATTATTCTTAGCCTTGTTCTGTTTTAAAAGATGTCTAGTTGCCTGTTATTTCATATTTCTATAGTGACAATCGAAGTGCAACCGATGTTAGTTTCATTGCATTCGTCTCGTCCGGAGACGCTTCTTAGCATAATTAGCGTATAACACTAAGGTCAGTGTTGTATAGTGCGTACAACGCCGTATACTGCGAGTCCCTTTCGTTACATATTTTTGGAAGCCTGTGCAACTTTCGAACTCAAGCTGAAATCTCGCAAACAACCTCCCCCTGATTTGACATAACCGTTCGTATATAGTTACAAGAACTATTCGCCTAGTTTACTCATAATTAACTGACCTCGCCAGAAGTACACACTACAGTTTATTATCTATTTTCAACGACGGGGACGTAAATACTATGTTAGACACATTCAACCAAACCATCCAATCTACTCTAGACTCGCGTGCTGCAATAAAGACAGTCAAAGGACGTAGCCGTCCTTGTCCGTTTGTAACTCAGGACATTAAGGACCTCATGAAGACCATGCAGAGACCAGCTACACCGCCAATACTGACACACTCAGGACGACCTTGATTGGGGTAATTTTAAGGATGATTGGAAAGCTGTCAAGAGAATGTTAAAAGACTCTGAAAGAAATTACTATTTGGATGAAGTTCAGCGACATAAAAAGAACCCAGGCTCTCTTTGGAAAATTATCAATCAAGTCATACCGTCACAATTAAAGTAAAGAAAAACATACTTACACCAAAGACCCAAAGACAGTCGCTGATGAATTCAATCAGTTTTTCTCGTCTGTAGGCAAAAATACAGCAGATGCGCCAATTCGTCTGGCAGAAGAGAACAACATTGCTGTAGAGGAAACACCTTTCGAGACCGTTTATATGCCTTAATCCCAAGATCTCTTTTCCTTCCGGGCAGTAACCGGTACCAGCGAAGAAGTAGGCCGTGACAGTGCATCCTTGCCATTGAACAAATCCCCTGGACCAGACAAGATAAACTCTCGAATCGTCAAAGACTGTCTCCCTGTTATACTAGGACCCCTAACACATAATTAACTGCTCTATAATCTCTCATACATACCCTATTGCATGGAAGGAAGCAGAAGTGATTCGCACAGTGAATTAAGACGCACGGAGACCACGAAGTAGCGTCAAACAACAGCCCGATATCTCTTCTTGCCATAGCTTCTCAGGTTTGTGAAAAAATTGTTCTC